AGTCTGCCATGGTTCTAATGAACCAATCAAATTGCTTGGGTTTAGTTAATTGGTCAAGGTTTATCTTATGTTCTGTAGATAACCACAGAAATTTACTTAACGGAGGAAACCAAGGATTATGGAATAGAAATTTGAATTGCCTGAAAAAGATAAAATAGGCAGGTCAAAATGATAATCCTGAGCACTCCGGCCTGTCCCAACCACAATAGAGGGTTGATCTATTTTTTTTCAAAATCGAGATCAATATGGTAGAATAAAGAACTGTAGTTTTGTAAGGAGAGGCCTGAAATGTTCACGGGGTTGAGAGCTTCCTAAGTATCTCATTGACAAGCTTTCCCATTTAAATTGGAAAGATTCTTTAAGGTTATGAGACAAAGCCGATAGGATTTAATTTTATATGATTAAATTTAGTATTAGAAATATATCCAATAAAATCAAAGTCCATAACCAGATTAGGCAAGGATATGAGAGTTTCGGAAAAGAAAGAAAAGGAGATTATCTGCAAATTGAAAAAATGTTACTCTCTATTTCTTATGCCAGTTCCACTAATTGAGATGTGTGGATTGATCTCCTAAAAAAAGTTTCATGTAGGCACAATTGTGACACTTTCTTTGTGGGATTATGCAATCCAGGGGTCCCACTACTTCTTGATTACCTTTTGATAGTCTTTGCGGTGAGCAGAGTGTAATTCACCATACTTTCTTTGAGCCATTCCCTACAGCAATGACCTCCCAAGGGTTATATACCACATTTTGTCTTGCAATGGGAGCATGACTTGGATGTCACCTGGACTGCTAACCAGAGGGATTATGTCCTTCATTTTGCACAAAAGGCCTCCATAGCCAATCAATATCAAGAAGTGGGATATTAGCTGTAAACTAGGTGGTACATTTGTCATATGTGTATAGTATTCTGTTGTCGACTTCTTTCTGCTTTTGTATTGTTTTGCTTTTTGGATTTTGAAAATTGCATAATTAAAGAATTGTTGGTGAGGGTTGTGTGCTGTAATGTAATTAGACAAGTTGATTATAATGGGGAATATTACACTGTAATGTTCCCCATTATAATCTATTTCTCCGATTAAATTATTACAAATAGAGCCTCTTTTCCAGTGGTGTAACAATCACCGTAGCGACCTAGGCGGCCGCTATGGGGCCCCGGGGCACGGCCAGGACATCCCCCTGATGCCGTGTGGGCCACCTGGGTCGCTATGGCATTTCAGACTGCTGGCTGCCAGTGGCGGCTGTGAGGAGAAACACGCAGCTATTCACATGTACAGCGGTGCGTACCTCCTCACAGCTGTTGAGTCGATGACAACCAGCAGCTTCGGGGGAGGTGGCTGGGCCCGTCACCGCAGCGATGGAGGTGGGCCCCAGCGATCAAGGAGGCGGTCTTAGCGATGGGGAGGCGTGCCCGGCAATCGAGGAAGTGGGGCCCAGTGACGGAGGGGACGGGGCCCGCAAGTGATCATGGAGGAGAGAGGATCGGCCAGAGAGATAAGAGGGCTTGACTGCCCACCTGAGACCGTGCAGAGCTCACCATGGAGAGTCTATGGTGGGCTCTGCAGGGTCACTCTCAGGTTAGCTGTTTGGGTTATCAGGTGGACTTATCTAGAAATCACAGGGCCCCATACAAGATTTTGCTATGGGACCCTGTGATTTCTAGTTACGCCCCTGCTCTGTTCTATCAAAGTTTGAGACCACGTTACAATCTGTGACTGGTGACATGGTCACACATTTTAACGTAATCTCGCCCAGTTTTTCGGCGGTTGAATAGGTCAAGCATTCCAACGCTTTCTCCGCTGTTCCAGGGCAGATCGGCATCGCAAATCGTATGTGCAGGAGAACCGATCTGCCCTGGAACAGCTGTTGGGTCCTGAAATGTCACTTCTATCCGACTTTGTGAGTGGGGTGGAATGTGAGATCGCAGTCAGATAGAAGTGACATTTCAGGACCGATCAGCTGTTTCAGGGCAGATCGGTTCTCCTGCACATACGATCTGCGATGCCCTGGAACAGCTGGGAAAGCGCTGGAATGCTTCACCTATTGGCGGTCACACATTCCACTGCAAAACACTGGGCGGGGTTACGTTAAAACGTGTGACCTTTGATAGAACACCGCCATCAGGGGGGTATGGCCAGTACCCATGTGAGGGGTCTGGGCAGCCTGGGGGGCCTCTTACATGGGTATCAACTGTACGGGGGTGACATGGCAGAGGTGACAGGGGAGGGGGTGGAGGAGACTGGGCCCCAGCAGGTAAGAAGAGTTGGGAGGAGGAACAGGGAAAGGGACCCCGACGACCAGACCAGCCCACCTGGGACCCTGCAGAGCCCCCCATAGAGAGTCTCAGGTGGGCTATGCAGGATCTATGGTGTGTTCTGCAGGGTCTCAGGTAAGCCCAGCATGCTACTGGGAATTACCGACCAGTTAGTCTTACATCGGTAGTTTGTAAACTGTTAGAGGGAATGATTAAGGACCACTTAGTAGAATTTGTGCGGGAAAATGACAAAATAAATAACAACCAGCATGGGTTTAGGAAGGACCGTTCCTGTCAGACTAACTAGGGGGTAAGTAGAGATCTGGATGGAGGGAGGTCTGTGGATGTGGTATATCTGGATTTCGCTAAGGCTTTTGATACAGTACCTCATAAACGCTTACTATACAAGCTGAGAGCTATGGGCATAGATGGAAGGGTTTGTACATGGATAGAGAACTGGCTAAAGGAACGGGTACAGAGAGTATCAATAAATGGCGCCCTTTCAGACTGGGCTAGTGTCATTAGCGGTGTGCCTCAGGGTTCTGTGCTGGGACCCATGCTTTTCAACCTGTTTATTAACGACATCGGGGACGGAGTACACAGCGATATCTCAGTGTTTGCTGACGATACCAAAATTGGGAGGGTAATAGAAACAGACCAAGATAGTGTAACATTGCAGGAGGACCTGGATAAAATCAGGGAATGGGCAACTATGTGGCAGATGAGGTTTAACTACCTCCCGGCCAGCCGCTGTGTATACACGGCCGGTTGGGAGCTTCTTGGATGTAACTGGGCGTGTATACACGTCCTGTTGCATCCGCCCGCACGGGCGCGCGTGGGAAATCGCCGCTACTTGAAAACAGGCAGCGATGCCCGTTATTATACAAGCGATCCACCAGCTATAGAGCCGGCGGATAGCTTGTATGAGGTCCGTGACGTGCGCCCCCCCCCCCTCCCGCTGTCAAGCTGATCCCGGGCTCCGGGACCAGCATACTGTCTGTGTCACAGGGGATCAGAGGGAGGTCGGTTCACGACCTCCCTCCGGTCCCCTCTCCGCTGTCAGAATGCGGAAGTGGTGTATATTCCATCACTTCCGCATTCTCGTGTCACTCTCCAGCTTCAGATCCTGGAGAGAAGCTGATGAAGCAGATCTCTGCTTCATCAGCTTCTTCAAGGGGGTCCTAGGTGACATTAGGGGTCTTGGAGACCCCTGATGTCTCCATACAGAGGACCTGTCACATATTTTGCTATCACATAAGGGGGTTTCTCAGCCCCCTCTGTGATAGCAATAAAGTTAAGTGGGAAAAAAAAAATAGGAAAAAAATGTAAAGTTTCCCGCCAAATTTTTTTAAAGTTACACATAAAAAAGAATTTAACAAAATAAAATTTTTTTTTAAAGTCCCCACCCCTACATACACGCATGTAAACATGCATTTTTTGCACTTCACTTCTTGGTCCTCTAGTGATATAGGGGCCATTATGAGGAACTACATACCCCCGTTGGTGAAATGGCTGGAGCGTCCTTCCTGTTGGCAGTGCAGGACAAGCCTTTGGATTGATGAATCATCCTTATGTGTCTACTGTAGTCTAGTGATAGTAATGATAGGGAAGTGAAGAGACATCACTGCTTGGGTGGGCTGAGGTCACTAGGTGGGGCCAGACACCTGGTCTTGATGAGGGGGGGCTATATTTGGTTGGCCAACTGCTTTTTTTTGTTCAATTCCTCCTATAGGCAGCAGCATAGCTCAATGTTGCTTATTTCTACTGATGAATGAGTAAAAACATTTGGCATATATTCATTTAAATGTACAAGGGGTGCGGTGAAATACTTAACTTTTTTTCCTTGTTCCGCAAGCTTTTTCCTCCAGGTTCGACCGGTCACCTGAAGCCGCTCTTCGCAGCTCAAATGGTTGAATCTCTCTGACATCAAACACGAACAATACTGAGCTCTGCAGTTCTGCATTGTATGTAAAGATGCCAAGGCCTTCCCACATTCCGTGAGCATCAGAGGGCAAATAGTGCCCACTGCTGAGAAAGTGAGTAAAGAGTCAAATATTATGCTCATTCCAATTACCATAGACATTTTTAACCCTGACTAACCCTTGCAGAAAGGTGAAATGTTAGGGATACCTAGATTTCAGTTCTAAAGCAAGCCTGGTCGATCACCTTACCCATTTATAGTTCAGAAATAGAATTAGTACTTTTGGGTATTTGGGAGCAAGTGTCTAGATCCCTTTCCTCCCGTGCACCAGCGCTAGTGTTTAGCGACTTGCTGCTTAGGCACCTAGCATTGTCAAACAGGGATATTGAAATAGTCTTCTTCACTTTGCTCCAGACAGATAAACAAAGCAACAGGGGAGTGAAGGGAAAGTAAAGTAAATATGTTCAGCTTTTGAATAAAGTAATTTTTTGTTTTCCCCTGCATTGGCAAAGCATAGGTTCACTTTAAGAACATGGGATGGAAACAATAGATTGTATCTATTATTACACTTAAGCCTCTGGATTGATCTCTACACTTTGCTTGCACCTAGGGACTCTACTTAAAGTTCCTTAACTAAATTATACACACTTAGCGTCCATGAGATATCTCATAAGTGCTAGATGGCACAGTCAGTGCGTGAAGGCTGTAGAATTAAGTTAGCAATTAGCTCTCTTAGGATGTATAAAAGGAAAATTGCAAGAAACCGGAAGAAAATCAAAAGCCGATTTTTTTTATTACAAGGAAAAAAAAAAAAAAGAAATCCACAACACTGACAAGGAATGGCGAGTGAGAAATTTAGAGACGAGATGGAGTTTTCCCACAGAGGACAGGCTTATGCTTGTAGCTTCAGGGATACAAATATACACGTTGTTCTCTCTACCGCACTCATCTCCCACAAGCCTAATTTTGATTTAGAGAGACAGTTTATTATTCTGCGGAAGTGTAATAGCTACTCAGTCTGTAAGTAATCAATCTGAATCATTAGAACTCGGAGGAGTACTGGCCATCTCTTCATCTGAACCCTAAAGAAAAAAAAAAAAAAAAAAGATTTTTTTCAAGTACACATTTTTGCTGTAGTTCAGCTTCTATATCTACTATTTTCTAAGTGGATTTGTCAGGTTGTCATTCAAGCTTATGATTTGTGGGATAAGATGCCTTCTTTTCTGTTTTTGGCTCATTCTACTAGGGAAGCTAGTGCCTCCTGTGTGTTATACAGTTGGGCTTCTGTTGCTCAAATTTGCAAGGTCGCAACTTGCTGTTCACTTGCAACTTGGAAAAGGAACGGGAATAATAACATCCTGATCCAACATACCTTGCTCTGCACAAAAAAGGTTCACCTGACAGTGCTGAGACATGGGAAGCCAGGGCGCAAAGAACCGAGGAGGAGAAAGATGAAACTATTTTGTAACTTGTGGAAACCACTTCTCGAACCCAGGCCTCTGAAATTTGAGCTTCCCACATTTCCGCAAATTCGAATCAGATACCCGCCCCGATGAAATAGGCCGGAGTCAACCTTTATGCTGAAGCAGACTTTTATGAATGCTTACATTTTTTAACAAAAATATAGCCTATTTTTGTATCACTCAGCTGACATTGTCCTTCCTTCAACAGCGTGGCTACTTTTGTCCTCTATGGTCCCTGTGTATGTTGTAAAGTAGCCACCGTTCCAAGTTCGCTCCCGTGTTGAACTACAATCTCTAATTTTTATTCAGATTGTAGTCCATCACAGAAGCAAGCTTAGAGCGGTGACTACTTTACACCACACACAGGGATCATGGGGAACAAAATTAGCCACCCTCCAGGAGGAAGGATAGTGTCAGCACAAATTCAGAAATGGTTTGGGGATCTACAGCTGATACACAAATAAGATACATTTTTATATAGTTAGGGCATTAAGATTTAACTCCTGTGTTTAGTGTCACTTTAAACAAAGGAGCATCATCAATAAGAATAATTAACGCCTTGTTAAGACAACAAATTGGAGGATTAGGACTTAGGACTTCAGCAGGAATAGACCATTAAAAAAAATAATAATCTAGAAACCTTGCAAACACGCTCGGGTTTAAGCGAACCTAGGTTACACTCAGACAGGATCTTCTGGAAACTCCATAAGAGTTCCAGAAGTATCAGGCATTTCATCCTCAGAAACCAAAGGCAAGGAGAAATGCAATTCCCTTTTACCCCTATGAATGGAGACCACAAGTTTTCCAAACTAAATAAAAAAAAACTTCACAGAAGAAGAAAATTCAGCTTTAGTAAGAAAATGACAAAACTCAATTTAAAAACATTCCTTCCTTGAGGTAGTCTCCACTTATAGTACAACTATAAAACTAGAAATAGTACAAGAAACAGACTTCTTAGAAGTCAGAGTGCGCTCACCCCTCTGCTTAGAAACTGACATTTTAGCAGTTTACAATAGAAAACAAATGCCAAAATATATCCTTCCAAAATGACAACGAAGGCACTCAAACTTCTTCTGCCGACAGAATAACCCGAGTCAAAATGGCAGTAAAAAGATCCTTGACTTCACCAAATATGGATTCCCCAAACAGACAGTAGAAGTTCAGGGAATCGGAGCTAAAGCCCTGCCAGAGAACAAGAATCTGCCACAGAGAATCCTGAACAAACAAGAGAGTGCGTGCATGTGTATGCGCAGCAGACTAAAAAACAAGGAATACATTAAAAAACTGCATCAACATTTTTCAGTCCCGGCCTCCAAGAGAGACAGCGGGAGATCAAACTGCAAGGTAAAACAGAATGGCACATAGATAGGAGTCATAATTACGTTTTACACATAATAAAAAGGAGGGAAAACATACAGTATATTTTTTTTTTTTAAACCTGATAAACAGTGTACAGTTACTCATGACTCCACAACCCCACCTCAAAAACAGGAATACCCAGACAATACTGGACTGACTAATTAATAAATAAATCATCACAGGGACACAGGACCGCCGCAGGGCGAACCGTTACTACTGAGAAAAGAAACGACCTGCTTCTAGACAACTGGAGAAATTGCCAGGATTTAACTTGTATGGTACGAATCTAGCAGTTTTGTCGGACCGCTAGAGAAACGTCCAAGATTTATTATCATCCAGCATCTCTCGATATCCGAATCTCATTGAGGAAATAAAATAAACCAACATAATAAGGCAGAAGAAAAGAATAAACACATTCTCCAGAGGACACTAAGCGAAACTGGCAGGTGTGAGGGGTTATGTCCTTAAAGTGCCAAGTTTTACATTTTTGCCTAGTATCCAATTCTCTTGAAGGCAGCAGCATAACACTGTTTAAGAATTCTTCAGAGCTGTGTCCCCAACGAACGATAGAGAAAAGCATTATACAGGGAGCACAAAACTCGAATTCCTATTGTAAGAAGCTAAAGACAAATATGAAAAAGCCAACAAGAAAATCAGAAACAGAAACCTGCAATATGAACAGGTGACAATCTTAACACTTTCATGATCACAACAGGCCTTTTAAATGTAAAATGCACCTTGCAGTGGGAATTAGGGCTGAAACAACTGTTGAAACAAAAAGTGTTGTCAACCATTTTCATTATCGATTAGATGGGCAGCTTACAGCTCCCCCCACCCTCCGCGCCTCACTCCCATGCATGTGTTTGACGAGGCAGGCGGACCCAGGGAAAAAAGTGTTGAGGAGTCCCGGCAAACACCAAGCTGAGTGCAGACTGACTGATCAGGTACTAAATCACAGATTCCATTTAAACAAGGATCATAGTGGAATGCTATGAAATAAAAGACTTCTTCTATCTGAAGCCTAACCTTTTTATGTGTGCTTTCATCTGAAGAGCTCTCATCGCTGGATACAAACTCTTTGCTCTTAACGGTGTTGGTTTTAACAGGTGTTCTTGCAGGAGAGGCAGGCTTCGCAGATTTTTTCTTTTCAGCCTTCCCTGAGGTCTTCTTCTCCCCTGAGGTCTTCTTCTCCCCTTTTGGTTTCTTCTCCCTTATTGAAAAAGCAGGTTTAAAATAGTAAATTTAGTAACAGAGCAATTTTCACCTTAAAGAAAAAAGTAATGCATCTCACTTTTTTGAGACGTCAGAGGGTGCATTTTTGTTGTACTCTTTCATAGCTCTCTCATAGTCACGCTTTGCTTCCTCAGCTTTACGATCCCATTCCTGTCAAATAGAAACCAAGAGTGTATTACCATAGTATAGTTTGCAATATTCCTGAAAATGGACCTATACTCAAATTATTAACACAATCTTGCGGGGATAGATAAAGTGTAAAATAGCTAAAGTGCTTGTAAAAAGTAAGCGCTATAGCTATTTTTCTGCAGGAAATGTAGTTTTAGGCCTTCAATTACTTTTATTGCATCCCAGCATAACTTTTAGTTTTACGTTAACATTTAAGTGTACAGATGTCAGGCCAAACTGTATACATAGAGGCGATCCTCTAATGGCAGACAGACATTAACCCATTCATGACTGAGGCCTTTTTTTCATTTTTTGTACCCATGTTATATTCCACATTTTAGGCCTGAAAATTACTTAAAACCCCCCAACATTATATATTTTCTGAATGCCAAGACCCTATAGAATAAAATGGTGGTAGTTGCAAATTTTTATGTTGCGCAATATTAGCGCAACTCCTTATTAAACCCCAATATTTAGTGAAAAATTTAATTAAATGCCCCAAAACACAACAAAATACCAATTTTTTAAATGAAATATAAAAGATGAGGTTACAACGAGTAAAGCGATACCCAACATGCCCAGGTTACAAATTGCGTGC